GAAGCCTTGTTCTCGCATTCGAAATTTCTGACAAATTCCTAGTAAAGGTTAGCCCTAATACAGCACTCAGAACACAAAAAAGTTGTTTTTTTTAATTTTTTCATGCAGATATGCACCTCATTGGTTAGGTATGCAAGCACAATACTGATTGTTGGTTTCGCAAAAAATTTGGTGATTTGGTGTTCTACAGCGGAATGCAGACCTGATACCAAATTATATTCATGCAAATTTGATCTTTTTCAACATGAACTCGTTTTAAGGAGAACTCACAAGACAGAGAAGACTGTGTTTGCTTGAACAGTACAAAAGTGAACCAAAAAACATTCGTGTGGCTGAAAACAAACTTTTCATGGGAAATTTGAAGCTGGGAGGGCCGAAATCAATTAATGAAGATAAACGGAGTAAACTCCGGGGGGGGGAGCTGGGGGTGGGGGTGGTGTCAAAGCAGTCAAAGAAACAAATGAATGGGATGAGCTAATTCATTTGCCCAAAGTGAGAAGAGACCCTATCTATATTTTACCGCTACAAATCCTATCCCTTGTGGAACCGAAGTCGAAGTGAGAAGAAATTGTCAGTGAAAGACATGATTGTCACAAAAAAGGAGAAGTCTGTACAAATATCCGCTTTAAAATATTCGAAAGTGGGGTGTGTGATAGACTTACCTCCACGTGGTGCACCCTGGACAACGTATACTCATACGACTAAAAGGTCTTTTAACCGGCAGTTGACTTCCGACTTCAGACTACCATGAGCCCACTGTATGTCATATTCGTCCCCTTTCATGGTACTCATCCTACCTTTTCTCAGCCTTTTTGTCTATCTGTCTCTTTTACATCTGTGAAACATTATTCTGTCCCCCTCTCGACTTTTTGTCACTTTGATGTTCCTCCTCCTCTCTGTGAAGCCCGAAGTCAGTTAAAGGGCTAATGATAACTATCAAAACGCCTGTCATTTGAAATAAATAATAATAATACCTTAAATATTCGAATGTCTCAAGCTATGAAAGACTTTTGAACAAGGACACAAAATTCCCATTCTTTTAATCCAACCCATTATTAATTCTGATATTTATACCTATATGTCACTAGGTCCAACATGCGTTCCTTAGGCAAGTACGGTTAATTGAGATTAAATATTTACTACTAATAGATAGTACTGAATTTCCCCTTACCATTAAAGTACCGAGTGCTGTTTTCTGAATTCTGGTTAAAAATGAAGCTCTCCACGATCGAAATATTCAAATATGAAACACCCAACCTCCACTGTTCTCAACTAACTTCCCCATCACCTCTCCAAATACCTCAACTATTTAATCATGTATTGGTAAATAAAAGAGAATATTATTACTTGCAAAGAAGTCAATTTTGTCCCTCCGTTATAATTGCTTATTCTGCATTTCTAATCATAGTCGAATAGATTAAATAAATAATTCTATTTAAAAATATGAGTTATAATTTGATGAACAATTTAGAAAATAAGAATTAGTTATCGTGGAATATGAGTAAGCACAGTAAATTTTGGGTAAATTTTTTTCCCAAATTAATACCTATTTTTAGTTAAAAAGGCATAAATTAGGAAAGAGATTTTTCGAATCTCAAATTTGTGACTCTAAGTTAGCTATCGCGAAATCTGTGCTCATTTCAACGCAACAAGACGGATTGGTAGAATGCGACTTGGACTTCCAAGTTAGATGCTCTACTTCACCCCAGTACTTTCGAGTTGAATTCCGAAGAGAGGTGAAAAATAACCCCCACTAAATCAGAAGGACAGTGGGGGGGGGGGGGGGAGGTATTGGAATAGCACAGTATAAATGAGTTAAAAGAAAGCACCTAAAAATACATCGATCACCCCCCGATTGTCACCAGATGTCACAATCATTGATTTTTTGGAAGTCGAAATCGAGTCATGTTATTAGCTAAAAAGGACTGTCGAGCATCACCAACCCCCACCCCCACCCTCGCCCTCCCCCCAATGGGAGTGGACAAGAGTGAAGTTATGGCATTTGCATGATCCAAGGCAATCACCTAATAGGTAAATACTGCTCAATCAAAGATTTATTACAAAGTTCCAAGAAAACAACAAAATGTAACATGTTGAGCTCAGTAGTTGACTTAATTTGCAATTACATGAATGTCAAAAATCGCAATCTATCTTCATCAGTATAGGTACCATGGAGACCTCTAATTCAGACAAAATGGAAACCTCAATCGTGAAACCCTAGCAGCGAAGACACCCACCTTCGACTTCACTTTTGGACGTCGTCTTCAGATCTCTCACAGACAGCAGAATTCTTCCATGCCCTAACACGAATCAGAAGACGAAGGTTCGTCTAGGCAAATCGTGTTCCAGCAATAGGACAGAATTCGCGTACAGAACAGTGTGGGTGACCCAGCGACTAAAAGTCTTGAATGCAAGTTCAAACAGATAGCGTTTTTATTACTTTGGCTTATTGGTCTGTTTAGCTTTGTTCTCTACGTTTCAAATTTAATATTTGAGGGTGGGGTGGGCGCCTTTTCCAGGGTTAATGCACCACTCTAATTAACTATCAATTTTACTGAGCGAAAATGAGTCCTCAGGGTGCAGGGAATGTTGGGAGCAATCTTGATAGAATTTCCATGGTCATTTCATTCTCACTTCCTGAACGTCTTCCTTTTTTTGCGAGAAAGTGGCTAATTCTGCCTCCTTGAGTAGTTTCTTAATTAATTGTGAGGACCCCTTGATGGGCTATCGGATCGCGGTAGGTTGCACGAAAATAGGATCATGGTTCCAAATCCTAATGATAGTTAAGATGGTAATTATATGTAATCTACCAATAGCATTTCAAATTCTAAAATCCCTCTTACTTTCTTTTAACTGACATTTGATAAATGGGCTATAGTCTCTCGGATGATCACCTCCCGTGTCAACTATGCTCCCAGGGTAATTTAGAGGGTGACAGAAATTGATCCCTACGCCAGGGAGTCTCCATGGTGCCATGCACTATCGCAGATAAGAGAGCTGGAAAACGTTTTTCTAAATTTTTATTATCACCACTATTGTGATTATTGTGAATGGTGTCAAAATTACTTCCATTCAGATGTAACCTAAGCCTTTCACCTACTACTATACTAACTAAATGGGGCTTGCGATTTTTCTATTTGAGACATTATTTTGTCCAGAGAGGGGTGTGCGATAGACATACCTCCACGTGGTGCACCCTGGACAACTAATACTCATACGGCAAAAATGTCTATTAACCGGCAGTTGTTTTTTTTGACTTCAACCTACTATGACCCCACTGTATGTATATTCAACCACTTTCACGGTAATCATCCTACCTTTTCTCTACCTTTTTGTCTGTCTGGTTCTTTTACATCTTTGAAACACTCTTCTGTTCCTCCACCCCCCCCCCTCTCGACTTTTTTTCAATTTGATGTTCCTTCCCCTCTGTGAAGCCTGAAGTCAACTAAAGGGCTAATGATGACTATCAAAACGCATGCCATTTGATATAAATAAATACAAACTAAATTATTGGTAATTCAAAGCTTCCATTGCCACCTTAGTCCAGGGCTGTTCCAAGCCTACGGAAATCTTCGACTTTTGAATGCTTGGTTTAGCTGATCGTTCAGCAATAAAGTCTTTTATACTACTAAAGCTTTTATCTTCAAACCAATTCAATGTAAGAACACCACTGCTGAGTAGATGCAAATAACAGTTTCTCCAATTGAGGTGGCTTTGCTGAGCAGCCTAAATGAGCTGAGATACTGGAAAAGCTTAGACTAGGCAACGAACTAACATTTTGGCAAATTTGACCAAAGAATTAAATGTTGGAGGATAAATGTTATTCCCTCCCCCCCCCTCCACCCTCCCCCCTCCCCTCTCCCCC